CTGATCAGAATAGTTAAATAGTGTTTAAGAATAACTTCACGGGCTCTACACTGTTAACCTTCCTTATATTAATAATAGGTTGAGCTCATTATCACATAGGAAGGTTTCACATTCAATGCACCAGGTATTCTGTGTTACAACTGGTGTACTCCAAAGAAGACTTCCCAGATTAAAGATACTGCCAAACCAAATGTTTTTACTAAGTCAACAGGTGTTTAGATGGTGTGCTGTAAATTGGGACAGTCATAAACTCTGTTTCGATCTAGAGCTGTATTGAAGGAGTTGTCACGAAACATCCCACTCTTGCCCAGGTTCTCTGAGAATCTTTGTGACTTTGGGTGGAAAGTACATGGAGAGCTTTCAAAGGTTGGAGAGAGACGACCATAGTCACTGGAAGTTGTTCTATATAGGGGATTTTGGGTCTTTGCCCACAGTGTCGGCAGTTCACGTTTAACTGCTGGAGTCATCATGCAGGAGAAAACTGGGTTTCCAGGGCTGGCACATGGTTTAGTATTTTCCAGCGACTGTTCTTCAGAGGCTGACATCATTGCAGTATCTATAAAAAAATAAACTGATATATGAATTCATGAGCCTCAGTTGTAATTGAAAATTGCACGCAAAAAATAAATTCATTTTTTGTAAAAAAAAAAAAGAAAAAAAGAAAAAGGAATTCATTTTTTGTAGATGTCTGCAATAAAACAGACTGATGCAGAGGTTCTCTCTCATTTTGTTTTGTTTTCCACATTTGAAATCAACATTAAGAGGTCAAAAGTACAAAATATGTTTAATAAGAATGAAAGTATTTAGTCAAATAAAGATTGTTGAAACTTTAATACTGTGTAAAGAAAGAATTTAAAAGCACAGCACTCCACAGGCAACTTTGATGTTAAAAACATAGGCTACTGTATTTAGTAAAATTATGCCAATAAAACTAACATTAAAAATGCTTTTTACTAGTACTACAGCTGAAGCTGACATATCAATAGATAGCTTACTCCTGTAGATCTATTTCAGAATAAGATACTCCAGATACAGCCGAAGGTTCTGACACAACTTAACCAATCAATGTGCACAGACAAGGAAAAAAGAAACTGGAAAACAGAGCACAGCAACACTTCCAGTATTTTCAGCAACTTTTAAAGAGAAAACCAACGCGTTTCGGCATGAACAGATCCTGACGAAGGTTTCATGCCGAAATGCGTTGGTCTTCTCATTAAAGTTGCTCAAACACTGCAAATGTTGGTAGATTCTTTGTTTTCCAGAATAGGCTACTTTACCATAACACCTGTCACATCTATGTCAAGCTTTATAATATGTAGCCTAACGAGCACTATGCTAAGCTAGTCGTATACCTATATCTACTCAATTAAAATCAACATTAGCTAGCGTCAGATGTCCAAATTTACTGTTTAGCTAACTAAAATTTATCTAACGCTACTATTTCCAGTCTATTATCAGATCAATACAGTTACCTTAAAATGCAGTAAAGCAAGAAAATAATCTGCTCTATCTGGCTTTGTTCTCCAGAGCACGGTTCCAAGAAGCATCTGGTTACCACGGTAACCATGATGTCGAGTTGAATTCATTGTTGCCAAACAGTACTTTGATAATATAACCTTTGCCAAACATTTCCCTGATCTTTCCACTGCATATTCATGATCGGGCAGAATTTGCACGGTGTCCATGATATCAACAATAGACCTATATCAAAGTCTGGTGTAATAATTCAGTGTGGCGGGATGTTAAAAATACTTTACAGCATAATTTTAATTTTTGGCAGACATTTTAAAATCCAGATTTACCTTTCATGAATGTTCTGTACGTTGGTTATAACAGTTAAAAGCCGGCACTATTACTAAATAGTTATAGTACTAGTAAATGAACTAGGACTGAATCGGCATTTATATGTAATACCACATTACTATGTGAATAGTTTTTTTTTCTTGCACTTGAAGGCATCATTTGACTACATCATCAGTAAATGCCCACTGGTTACGTACAATTACCGCGTCTACTATTTTCAAATAAACGAGCAAACGTCTTAACAAACCTATATTCCATCCCTTTTCCCCCAAAGTATTTAGAAGACGGTATGTTGTTTTATGCTCCTTGTTTGCTTTCTAAATGGTACTCTGGACTTTCTTTATCTCTAATTCCACTTTATGTCAACAGTGTCTGAAATTGCAGTTAGCTTGAGGCTAGCCCCGTCAGAGGAGACCCTGAGACCTGCTCGGAGAATGGACAGTGAAATCCAAAGAGATGGGAGAGTCCTGGATCTCACTGATGATGCCTGGAGGGAAGACAAGCTACCGTATGAAGATGTCACTATCCCTCTGGTAAATGCTATAACGTTATAGCGTTACATACAGATTCATGTTATAATTAGTAGGAACCAACGTTCGGAGTCTAGTCAGGTGCAGGAATTTGTAAGCAATATTTTAAAGAAAGATTTTGTTTTATTGCAAGGGGAGAGTTTTCTGGAAGACTACAGGTATTTCAATTTCCATGGAAGTATATTAATGGTACAGTATTGTTTTAGTGTGCACAAAACACGCACATTTTAAAATCAGTTCATTAATGGCACGTTTTGAGTACAGGAATCCAGATAGTGTTTTCCAGGTGGAAGTTGTGAGATGGCACAATCTTTGGCCTAGCATGCTTTTATAGGACACAGGTCAATGACAAATGACAAATCCAGTGAAGCACAGTAGGAAACATCATTGAGATGAAATCCAATAAATTGATGCAGGGGCACCGCTAGCAGTTTTGGGCCCTATGAAAAAATTTGAAGTCGGGCCCTCTACCCACAGACTGTGGGCCCCCAAAGTTCGTGGGCCCTTAGAATCGTCCTAACTTCCCCCCCCTAACGGTGCCCGTGATTTGATGTGCTTTCAGTTGGTATAGGAGGTAAAATAACTAGTGTGAAAACTGATAGTGAACAGTTTTAAAGTGAATAAGTAAAGGAAGTCCTACTTTCTTGCTCCACTCTAGAGAGTAAAGTCCTCTTTCATGTTCAAAACATCTATGAGTCTTGTGATTCTCACTTTAAATGTGCTCACTTTTAGTCTGATACAGTCATACGGATATAAAATAGAGTGAACTGAGATGGATGTAACTCAAGAGCTCTTGCTCCTTCTTTAATGGCATCTTGTTGTCCCTGTTCTCTCTTAGAGTGAACTTCCGGAGGCCGAGCAGGACAATGGAGGATCCACAGAGTCTGTGAAAGAACAAGAAATGAAGTGGACAGACCTCGCCCTGCAGAGCCTACACGAAAACACACCAAGCACTGGAAGCTGAAAGACTCCTCTAGAATCAGACTGAAGAACTAAAATGCGCATTCACAACAGACACTGAATTCAGATTCATGTAGTTCACAGTATTTTCCAATTTTATTGTGTCTTGAAGGATTTACAGAATGTTCCAGTTAAGTGAAAATTATGCACAGATATAGTTTGATACTATGTAACAACATTAATTGGAAAGAGTAACTTCCAAATCTACTGCTTCTATCAGGCTGTATGTTGTATGACACATTCTTGAGATTGTTTCTGGCTACAAAAACACTGCTTTTATCTGGGCAGCAATGACTCTTGTCTAGAAAGCAGCCTTTGCATATTGTAACAATGACACTTCGTGATCTTAAACTCATGTTTAAGGATTTAATGGGAAGGACATTGTGTGTGCATGCCTGTACTTGTTTGTGTTAAAATACTGTTGTGTTGAAAAAAATCCCTTTATTTCAAACCTGTCTGTCAACTTTTCATAAATCCTCTTTCAGTTTTGGATCACAGTTAATCTATTAATTAAGAAAATAACTGTTGTCTGGTTAATGGATACCTTAATAATTATAAATCTGCCATCCAGGTCAGTGATAGATGTATTGGGATTTAATGGGACATTTTTATTAATTAAAACTGACACACCTTTTTGCCTACTGTTATATGTTCATGAAATATTGGTTAAATTGTTTACATTTAAGGTTTTGTGATTCTGGATTTGTTAGATGGTTTCTTGTAGAAAGCATATGTCAGCATTTAATTTTATCAAATGGTTAATGATTTTAATCCTCTTAACCTGGGTCCAGAATCCACGCACATTCCATGACACTATTTTGAGTGACTGAGTGATTGTTTGTTATAGATATGTTTGTATAATGAAAGCAGGGAAGACAGGGAAAGGAGAGAGGAAGGGGGAAAAAAGGAAAAAATGTAAAAGAGGATTAACAGGACCTACAGTTGCATGTGTTTGCTGGTAGGGATGTCGGAGACAGGCAACTCAGATGACTAAATAAGTTCTTGGACACTCACTTTGGGTGTATTTGTCTTATTTTCTGTGATGAGAATGATGGTTGCGATAACTATGAAAACTATCCACTCACTCCAACTGGTCAAGGCAGAAGGCCGCCCACCAAGAGCTGGGGTCTGCTCTGAGGTTTCTTCTGGTAAAGGGAGTTTTTTGTCACCAAGTGCTTGCTTAAGGGGATTTGCTGGGGTTTTCTCTAAAATGATAATAGTATGGTTTAGACCTTACTATGTAGTGTCCTGCGATGACTTTTGTTGTGGTACTATACACATAAACTGAATTCAAGTGTACAAGCTGGCAACATGTAGAATTATTTTTCCAGCCATGTCTGTTGCCTGTGCAAAGGAGTAAAAATGTAAACACTTACTGTTAATGAAACATCAGATATTTCTTAAGCACTTCTATTTCATGTAGGCTTCACCCTCTAGGAGCTGTCACTACTGGCTTTATCCCTTGCACATGCGCAGTCCTGAAGAGATTCTTTCACGCCCTTTGCCCTGCACTGGGCTGTCCCCAGACAGGTCTGCTGTGGTGGCATGAATGCCAAGGTGACCTGTGATGGGCTCCCTCTTTTTCTTCGAGCAATCTAAAGAGCATTCTTACCACCACTATGGCTAAGGAGCAAAGATCCGCTAGCACCGTACTCCAGTGCCGCACCGCAATCAAAGTGTGCCCAGGCTGTGACATTGGCCTCATTATGCCCAGTGATCCGCATCCCTGCGAGGTCTGCCACGGTGCCATTGGCCCCCTCTGTGCTTGCCTGCGGTGGAGAAACAATGCAGAGCTGAGGCTTTCGCCGTCACTAGATGATGAAGCCGGATGATGACAGCAGCTGGGTAAACTGCGGTGATGATCCCCTGGAGGATGATCCCTTGGAGTTTCTCGGTGTGGGTGGGCCAGAGCCCATTGACATGCTTCCTTCTGTTCCTGGCTCCTCCGGTTCTCCCCTCAGTTCTGTCCTTGATCGGGGGCAGCCGGCAGGAGAGAGACACTCAATTCACACTCAAGAGAGTGTGAATTTAATGGCTTGGCAATTTTATTGTGTCCACCATGCCAGAGGTTAACATTTAAACTTTATGTTAGCTTTTTAAAAAAGTTATCTTGTATGTAACCTTTATTTATTTAGGTTATTTTCAACTGTTCATTAGAAAAACTTGGCCAAGACTGGCAGCTCATGCAGAAATGTCTGTAAATCAGAGAAACAAAGAGCACAAAAAAAGAAAATATGACATAAGTTATTATTAATGATCAATACATTAAAAATGATGGATAACAGTTCTGTCTCCATACTCGTATGGCCACCATGGCTATGCAACTCACTATTGGAATGTCATAATACTGAAACTCAAAAGACCCCTGTGTTCATGCAGCTATACTCGTTAGGGTGAATACTGGCTCTAGGTTTGCTGACTCATGATTAGACCGATGTCCTCAGCTTGTTTAGTTACTAAAAGCTGATCCTGATGCAATCAATCACTCAATCCCAATTAGACTTAGACATTCAGACTGTAGAATAGACATACAATGTTAATATAAAAATTGGGAAGCTATAAAGTTGTTAAGCAGCAACATACTGTACTGTATATGTACAGTAGAGGTCGTGCATTGAACAGAACTGCATAAATCTGCTCATTCATTTGCTAAAAAACTATGCAGTTCAACAAGTGTTTCTAGCAAATAAATCTTTTATAGTGGTTTACATTCCATTTTGTTAGTGTTTTATGTTGAATACATCATTTTTCATTGTAGTAAGTGAGGTATACTCACATCATTTTTCATTGTAGTAAGTGAGGTATATTCACATGTGATTCAAAGTGAATCCATATTTCCCTGCACTCTGGTTATTTTAAGAAATTCCAAGCGGCAGTTTCATGCTTTAAACACATTGTCTTGTCATGATTTTCAAAAGAGCTCATTGCTGAACTGACCTAATTTAGGACCAGAGCTAGAGGTGAGATTTGGGTGAACCCTTCTAGAAACAGAACAAGTCTTCTTTTCTCTACACACAGTGTGTCCAACAGCAGTTGATTCATGAACAGAAAGCACATGACCTAATGTTGCACATTGCTTAGTGGTTTCTAGAAGGCAGCGGAGATTTAGATGGAGGCTCTTCTATGCTTAATTTAATTGCAAGATAAAAATCACTTGAAAGGGTAAGCAGCAGTGCATGTGCCCTGGGACCTTACACATGCACTCCACACACACACACACACACACACACCTATACACCACATACACTTCCCATGCACACGCACACAGCTAAAACAAGATGTGTGAAGTTGATCATGATGAAAAATATTTATCATCTCGTGATCGCAGAACAACCTATTGGACCCGAGACCTGTCCTGTGGCCATTAACACAAACATCTCTTAGGCAATAACATGCTGTCACTGAGCAAGAAATCCAAGTGGATGATGTGAAATATTCTACAAAGAATCTGAACAGGACAGTGAATGTTTTTCTGCCTCTGTTTTGTCTGTAATGTGAACAAATGGCTCAGTAATTTAGAACCAAACAGGTGAAAATGCCTCCCTACAGAGAAGCCACTCTCCCTCTAAAATGTATAGATGTCTCCCTCTAGAGCTCTCCAACACAAACAGCACCTCTCTGTGCAGTGTGCAAGCCCCATCATTCCACTAAAAGGAATACATACACATCTTTTGGTAGTCACCTCCAGTGTCTTAGAAGAACAGAGTGAATTGATGCCATGGGTTCTAACCTGGGTTTGGAAAAACTGAAACATTTGCATTACTACCAAATTAAAACCACATACAGACAAGTGACATATTAAAGAAAACCCTGAATAAATGACAGTGCCCCCATCCACAGATCACAAGGAGTCACTGAAGAGTTTGATGAGTATGAAACTGATGTGAATCATATGCTGTGGCCTTCACAGTCACCAGATCTCAACCCAGCTGAGAAGCTATGGGAGGTGTTGGAGTGACGTGTTACAGCACCTCCACCACCATCATTAAAAACACAAAATGAGGGAATATCTGCTGGAAGAATGGTGTTCATCCCTCCAGTAGAGTTTAGAAACTTAGAAAATCACTGCCAAGGAGCACTGAAGCTGTTCTGGTAGCACATGGTGGCCCAAGACCTTACTGGGCCACATTATTTTGGGTTTTCATGTGTCATCTGCCTGTATTTAAATACTTTAACTAATTAGTGATATGAGAGTCATAAAGAAAAGTTGAATAACATATTGATGCATTTATGTTTAAGTTTCTAAACCTGAACTCAAACTGAGTGCCAGACTACATGAGGAGTCAGGGCTCTCTGAGCTTGATTAACACAAATATTTTTACATTACTCCACCAATCATTACTGAGGGTCTCTGTGAATAATCAAACCACTTGTAATTCAACAATCAAGCAACTGATTGTGCAATCAGAAATCACAAAAAGTGGCTAAACACAGGAAAGTCCATGCTATTGTAAACAACAGTCCTAACTGTTACAGCCATTCATACTTAATGTTCCCAATGTTGTTTTCATCTCATGGTTAGACAAAGTTTGAACTAAGCTTTGCATAACATCTTTTTTAAATCATGAAATTGTAAACAAATTACGTAAGACATGGGACATCTCATACACCTTTGTCCACTATACTTCCTCTTTCATCCAGGAAGACCTTTAAAGAGTCAATAAATTATTATGTGTAGTGTAACACCAATGATGTGTTTTGGAGTGACCGACATTATTTGATATTATTAATATTAAATTGCTTCTTTTTTTTTACTATTTCAGTGTTCTTATTAATATATATAATGTTAATGTTGATGTTAATAAGATTTAATTCATGAAAAATATATTTTTAAATGAAAAGTATATGGCTCCACTTCTATGTATGATCAAAGTGACAAGGCAATTCCTTGAACTAGGTATTTTACATAAATAGCTAAAATTAAATATTTAACATTAGCTTTGGGAAAATGTGTTATCATTTAGAGGACCCTCTTTATTTATTCAATATATATGATTAATGTGATTATCGTGTCAACTTAAAGGATTTTCTCCAAATGCAAGTGACTAAATGTGTATGGGCCTGGTTCCTATGGTTCAGTGTATGTTATTTGTCCATGGCTCAACAAAAACTTAACATGAACAATAAAGTGATATAAATACATTATAGGGAATTTTGCATATTTTTTGGGGATCCATATTTCGTGTTTTTTTATGTGGGATCTGATTTTAGCCTATATGATTATTTTCTGTTCCATTCATTTAGTCTATATTAGAGCCTAGTAATTCAGCTCCAGAGCTTTTCTCTCACTAGTTACACTCTGCGTTTACGTTGGTCACGTCCTAGAATGACTCTGCTTGATTGCGTACTGATAACAATGTCCCGTGTGGGCACACTCTCCACACTGTCCCGACAGTAGCGAGCGCAAAAAGGGACAATGGAGCCTTCAGGCTCCCAACAGAAGTCCGTATCCGAATGCAATGAATGTAAATAGTTTAATACCAGTGGAAATGTGTGACGCTTAAACGGAAAAGAAATATATATACAGTCATTCACATAGTACAATAGTGTTCTTTGTTGGAGTGAGCATACTAATGATCTCTACAGGATTAAAATCAGGGAGCGGCCTCATTCACTAACTTCTTCTTTACAGAATAACCTTTTTGATTGGCCTTGCTTGGAAATATTGATAGAAAGCAGGTCTATTTAAACGAACAATTATTTTGCACGGTCTCTGGATAATCGAGCAAAAGATCAGCCAGGTGTTCTCCGCACTGGACTGAAGAAATGGATATTCCCTACAGCACACGGTCCGTGAATGCAGCATATTACAAAGGCCTATTTAATAAGATTTGTTCACAAGCATAGGGCCGCGTGCAGAGCTGCGGGCGGAAGCAGAGCATTGACAACAGACAGCTGCGCGTTTGCACCGTGTGCACAGGCGCTGGGAAACATTACATGATAATGGTTGTTTTCATTAGAATAACAAACAATTTCCCGTCACATGATAATGGTTATTTTCATGTGACGGGAAATTATTTGTTATTCTAATTTTGTAAAATAAATAAATAAATAAATAAAAAATTTAAGTAGCCCAATGTTGAATAATGATATCAATTAAATGAAACTATCCGTGTATGACACTGCAATATTTACATGCACTTACAGTAAGGCAGATATAGCATTAAACAGTGTACTATTCTCATTTCATGTCAGTACAAATTCTCAGTCATCATAATATGCTGAAAAAACTTAGCAGAAGGCATCTGGATGTAGTTTTAGGTAGAAGATGTTTCACCTCTCATCCAAGAGGCCTCATCCTCCCCAGAGAACACCACGGGTAGATGACTCAAAGAAGCAGTTTTTGTCCAAATAAAGCACCCCTCTCTAAATAGGGGTAGTGGACTCAGACACAACTTGTCATCCATCTACAATTCTGTTTTTAAATCTCTACCCACACATTTCACACCAGAACAATCCATCAAGGCATCGGTCCACATGTGAGGGTTCAATGTAGGTAAGGACTCTCACTGATACCAGAGAGGACATTGTTGGCCATCAAAGGACTGAAACACCACCCAATGGGATGAATACCTCCTGCTCATCACCAGTCACACAGAACTGATGAAGCCTCTTGGATGAAAGGTGAAACGTCCTCTACCTAAAATTATGTCCAGATGTATTATTATTTCACAATTTAAGCATTTCTACTTAAATCCAAATGTGAAAAAACCATGACATTAGCCTATTTTTAAATCTCATACCCCCTTCCCCACACTTCTTTTATTTAGAGGGCATATCAAAAGTCAGTATTGTAACCATGAAGAAATTATCCCAATACCCCTCACACCCACACACCCCCCCACACACACACACACAGACAGTTCATCCGTGTGCAAAATGACACAATGACTGTTAACCGAGCGCACTGAGCATCATTTGTTTATCAGCAGAAACTCACTACTGACTACACGGGTCCTATATAACAATGAACTTCTAATAACCTGATGGGAGACACAGGTGGTATTATTGTTCCTATGCCTGATAATATCAACATTTCTCCGTATACAATTGATACAAATGTTAAATATTTCGATGTTTTGTTCCCACGAGGAGAAAGCGGTATCCGAGGGTATTACATAATTTTAAAAATACCAAGTCATCATCTCTTGGGAATCTCTGTTCCCAATTCTCGGTGGTTAACACACGTGTGCACAAACCCCTTTGTAATCAACATGCCTGCGTGCAGCATGACAGGCATGTTTTGCACACGGCCCTATTGCTTCATGGACGCTATAAAAGAGCCGCCTCTGAAACTACACACCACTGGCTCTTTGGAGAAAGGTAACGCTTGAACTTACTGCTCTGAACTCAATCTAGCCCGACACCTGAAAAGAGATGGACCCTTGCGAGTGCTCCAAAAGTAAGCTTTTGTTCATGACTTGTCTGGTCTTGTAATATTGTTGATGTTGGCTGTAATAGTTCACTAGACCGTCTGTCGTTAAGTAACTGAAACCCTTCTACCTTTTGTTTTTGTTCAGCCGGGACATGCAACTGTGGAGCATCCTGCAGCTGCAAAAACTGCTCCTGCACAACCTGCAAGAAGAGTAAGTTAAATGACTTTATTTGGTGTTGATGCAGCGCTATTGTAGGCAAATCTTCGCCTGTTCTGAGAAGCATAGCCTAATTATTGGCAGCCTAATGCTGCTACCCAGGTGTCTTCAATTGGTTTAATTAGTTACGACGTAAAATGTGGCGATTCTAGTCGGTTGTGTGCTTGAAGGATGCTGGCTTTGGAGCCTAAGTGATCTGTCCTGACATTTGGGTAGTTGTCCCAGGTTTTTCACTAATGAGCGGTTATTTGTTTTGGTTTTTTGCAGGTTGCTGCTCATGTTGTCCTTCCGACTGCAGCAAGTGCGCAGCTGGTTGCGTGTGCAAAGGGGAGAAGTGCGACACCAGCTGCTGTCAGTGAGGAGTCTGCACCCTTTGCGCTTGTGATGGAGCCTGTGCAAACGACACAGGATTGTAGTGTAAATGTCTAGAAGACGTGTTTTCTACAGTTTCTATGTTGAAATAAAAATTTCCTTAATGTGACTTTGATTTGATTTATTCTTTCAAACATGCAGAACAATGACATCAACACACTATTACACAAATCCAACCAATACTAATCCAGAATCAATTTGCTTATACCTAGTACATGTTTGAATGGAGTAGGAAGAAGTCAGACTTATCCAGTCCTACCCCATGACTTCATCTTATTCATGCATCATTGGCTGCAAGCAGTATCTCTACATAGGTAATTCTCTTCTTCACCAGACAAGTAATACACAGACATTTTAAACAGTGTTGTTTCCTTCATGCATTCTTGATTAAATCTCTTATTCTTGCATATATTTTGAATGACACATATTTAAACTAATCAATTCTCTTACTGTTTTTCATGTCCACACTTGAATTATTCCATAATTTGACCCCACTTATAGAAATATGAAATCTTTTTTGGTTGTGCGTATAGCATGAACTTTTAGGTTTACCTGACCCCTTAAATT